GTAACCTTGCAGGGCACATCAAGATGCAGATGCCCTGACGAGATTGGGCGGAAGGCCTGGAGGAACATCTGGGTGTCTTTGGCAAGGCAAGTCTTGGGGGATAGCTGCGTGCTGAATCACATGTGGACACCGCCCAAACCGCAAACACACGTCAACATGATCCAGAATCCTCCAGAGACGGCAAGCGCATGGAAGAGCTTCAGGTTTTCGGCTTTAGGGTTTCATGGCTTAAGGGCGCAGGGCGCTAAGGGTTAAGTTTAGAATTTTGGGGGGTTTAGGGTTGCAAGTTGAGGGAAGCCCGAACCCCGAAACACCCGAAAACCTAAACCCTACACCCTACAAACCCTAGCCCTAAACCCTAAACCCTAAGCCCTAAACCCTAAGCCCCGAGGGCCAACCTGGGCAGCGCAGTGAAGGGGAGCATAGCCCAGACAGGTGCACTCATCAACAGGAAGATCGCAGAGACCTTTAGGGTTTAGGGTTTAGGGTTTAGGGTTTAGGGTTTAGGGTTAGGGTTTAGGGTTTAGGGTTTAGGGTTTAGGGTTTAGGGTTAGGGTTTAGGGTTTAGGGTTTAGGGTTTAGGGTTTAGGGTTTAGGGTTTAGGGTTTAGGGTTTAGGGTTTAGGGTTTAGGGTTTAAGGTTTAGGGTCCCTGCCTGGTCCTTCTCTCTCTCTCTCTCTCTATGACTCTTGTCTGCTGGAGCAAGGAACAGCCCTATATGTAGATGTACAATGTATATGTATGATGTATCATGTATGATGTACCATGCAGCAGGTATATGGATGTGTATATATGTACATGTATCTGAGCCTTCTTCAACGATCTCTACATCTCTAGACAGCCTCTGTCTCTGGCTCCTCTCTTGCAAGGTGGGGGGTTGGGTTCGGGCCTAGGGCTCCCGGCTGTGGATTTCGAGAAAGGGTTCGAAGTGTTCACGTTTCGCAGCTTTCGCAGCTCGGGCTGTGGTTCTGCTGTTTTGAGATGTACGCCTTAAGGAGTTGATCTGTTCGTCCGAGATTCGCAGCCCCAAGCCCTGAACCCTACGCCAGCTGTAAACCCTGAGCCCCAAGCCCTATAAACCCTAAACCCCAAACACCATAAATACCCCAAGCCACCCTCCCTAGACCCTAAACCCTAAACCCTAAACCCTAAACCCCAAACACTATACATACCCCAAGCCCCATAAGCCTCTTTTGAGCCGCCCATCTCACGAAGGCTTCGCAGGGAGGCTCTCAAGGTCTTGAGCCCGGAGGAAGCCAGCTCCTTGGTAGGGTTTAGGGTTTAGGGTTTAGGGTTTACGGTTTAGGGTTTAGGGTTTAGGGTTTAGGGTTTGGGGTTTAGGGTTTAGGGTTTAGGGTTTAGGGTTTAGGGTTTAGGGTTTACGGTTTCGGAAACCTAAGCCCCCAAACGCCCCATGGCACCATCACGTGGTAAGGGGTTCAGGGTCTAGAGAGCTCGGGCATTTCTGGGCCTTGCCGGCTGAAAGAAGTTGAGGGCCGCAGAGCAAGATGAAGCCTAAACCCTGAAGTGGAGGTGTCGAGTGCAAGGCTGAGGGTTCAGCGTCTAAAGGCTTTAGGGTCTACAGGGTTTAGGGTTTAGGGTTTAGTTAGCCTAAACCCTAAACCCTAAACCCTAAACCCTAAACCCTAAACCCTAAGGCTCCTTGGTGATCGAGCTGGACGAAGAGGTTCAGGACGTCACTCAGCTCTTCGCTGTCGCAGATGCCCCGGCGGACGAGCTCCTGGGCAGTCGGACATACTTGGAGGTTCATGGCACTTATTAACCAATTATAGCTGTACTTATAAGGGTTTAGGGTTTAGGGTTTAGGGTTTAGGGTTTAGGGGTTTAGGGGTTTAGGGGTTTAGGGTTTAGGAACTGTACTTTCAACTGAACTCAAAACCACATTCGGGCACTTATAAGGGGCTTATAAGTGGGTTATAAGCACTGCTATAATTGGTTCAGAAGTACCATGAACCTCCAAGTAGGGGCCAGAATTAACTGCAACTTCCATGTCAGACGCACGCTTATCTTGGCTCCGCATCTTGGCAGCCTGCGAAACATGCTGGCTTCTAGCTGCCTGACTCGTACGCCCAGAAAGCCAAGCGTCTGAGGCTACAGCGAAGAGCCAACGGGCTCAGAAGCTGTCGGTATGTGGGCATTGGGGTTTAGAGTTTAGGGTTTGGGGTTTGGGGTTTAGGGCATAGGCAAGCTTAAGGAGTTTTAACTGCCTCGAGATCCACCCACGGCAACTGCAGCAGCTTCTTGCCAGTCCGGCAACCCCGAACACTTACAAGCCCCAAACCCTGACAACCCTAAACCCTAGACCCTAAACCCTAAACCCTAGCCCTAACCCCTGAACCAACCCTATAGCAGATTGAAGCTAGCTGGCGGTGACCTGGCACCCACAGGAGCTTAGGTCTCAGACCCCTGGGAGGATCCCAAAAGTAGAACCACCAAACAGTACCCTCTACTATTGGGTCATCTTTAGGAAACCTAAGGGG